CACTGCCTTTGTCTGCAGACAATCTAGCTGGGGAAATTGATACAATTACACAGATTGGTCATAATAATGTTTTCAACGCAGATACTATCCAGAAGTCAGTCAGAAAACGAAGCCGTAAATTCACTTACAGACTAACATACCCCCAGATCAAACAATCAGAAATCAAGAAATGGGTAACTCCAACATATTTCAGAAAAAGAACAGAGATAATTGCGGGTTTCTTCGGAAAAAACTATGTGGAAGTGGCATCTGGTTTCCTTTTCAATGTCAAAGATAAGATGGACATGTTGGAGAAATCTGGAGTTTATAGGCTTAAGTGTCCGGAGTGTAATAATGTTTATGGGGGACAATGTGGTCGAAATATCCAAATACGGTATGACGGACATGAAAGGTCCTCGATTGTAAATTCAGGTACTCAATCAAGCCAAATACCTTCATCATTTCCTACAGGGGTGCTATATTAGGGCTAAACCAAGGCTATTAGGGCTAAAAACCATCGTTAGTTTAATGTACAAGTTTGAAAAAGTCCTTATAGGATGAAACTGCAGTAACGTTAGTTACAAATAAAAGTGGTAAAAATAAAGAAAGTTTCAATTCTCTTCTCTTCATATTAGATATACGTCAACTTTATTTCCTAGAGGAAACCATTTATCAATACTCTAGAAAATATGAACCCCTATCGATAGACCACCACAACATGCAGAGAGCGTGCCTGTATCTATCCACAAAAACTAAAGCAAATAACGCCAAAGATCACATTCAAGAGAGAACTGAAAAACTATATGAAAAACACCCCAAGAATTGAAATCCACAGAATTGTAGAAAAAATTATTTATAAAACCCCTTATTACTCATCTATCCAAATATTTATTCATACATTTGTACGTTCAACCGTTAACTATATTTAATATATTTATATAACATCGTTGAGCCTATTTTTCAAATTCCAAATAAGTAATTAATTTTATGTGTTCTGTTCTCAATTTTATGAAAGTGATTCTATAATTCCAATTGGTCAAAAAAACTCACCTGAATATCACTTTCAATCCAAACTCTAGCAGAGAGAGCACTCAAAATGCAATTAAGAATTAAACTTAGAAGAAACATTGCTGTCGAACGCCAAACTGAGACTTGCTCGGAATCACTCTGATATTTATATGGAATGATTTCAAGTTATCACATCACATCGTATATATCTATATTTACAGATGCCTCCACCACAGAGGTTATATTTATTTGTTTTCATGTTTTTTTGTTTTCTGAAGGAAAAATAAATAACGATATTGGTTGAGGAAGCAAACAGTCCTTGAAGAAACTCGAAACTCAAGGCAAAAGTTCAAACTCCTCATCGAGCACGAATTAAACCGGAATCTCTACTATTCTTTGTTACAGGGTTGAATTTTTGAATATACAGATCCACTTTTGTTTCACAAGAATTCGTGTACTTTTGATCCATCCATGCAGCACATCATGATATTTATATAACCGAATGTTTTACAAGGAATAATTTATTTTAGATTAGTATAAAATATTTGTTTAATAATCATGAAATACAAATCAATTAACAGAATTCAGATCATTTAAAGAGGGAAAGAAAAAAAAACTCCTCAAAAGTGATTATTTGTTCCCTCCTGTTCATAGAAAAGGACATATGCCTCTCCACCTAAGCGATTTTGGAGGAATTGAGGACACGTGTGAATCGTTATATTTATTCCATGTGCTACTATAAAAGTGTTTGCAATATGCTGTGTAATGCCCATTGTAAGTAGTCCCACTGTGATTTGAAAGTGCATATAGATTGTAACGACAAGGAGCCACATTGTCTGCTGCATAATTGCTCATATCTAATCCTTCTAAAGAAAACTCAATGGCAACATTCAATTTGCCTCTGAATATTTCCGTTGGAGAAAATCTTCTTTTTAATTTAATTACTAAAATACGGGGAAACGTATGGATTGATAGGAATTCATTTTCTTCTTTCCTTGCACTTCGAACCAGTTGGTTTTCATCTACATCTAAGGTTATTTCTTCTGTGAAGAAATCCAAGCATTGTGACAAACTCAATTGGCCAGTTCTTTGTGGTATAGGGAGAAACAAATCTCGGAAAGGATCGGAGGTTACTGATGAGAATCCACAGTGTGCACTTCATAGTAGATTTTAATTGACCAACGAAATTGTCTACAATCTCAGAGTTGTTCATGTTCAAGTATCTCAGCCATACTCTCGCGGTTTTCCACTGTCGCTCAATTATTCGTCAATCTCCGTTAAGATCGGTTTGGGTTTCTCAGTAATTTCATCGAGGTCCTCATGTAATCCTTTTTGAAGATATTGAGGGAATTCCTGGGCGTCTTGATGGGAAGAATCTGACTTTCAAAGCAGGCAGTGTTTATTACTTTGTCAGATGAAACTACTGACCACGATTCCTTGGTGACTTCTGCAGTCACTTTGANGAACGTAATTCACCCTGTATATTAGATTATTATTTTAAAATACGGTAAATTAACATCAAAAATCGACGTGTTTCAGGATTATTTCTTAAAATGACCTGTTTAGCTAAAAATGAATTTGTTCCATACTTTACGGACATACTTTACGGAAAGGATCGAAGGTTACTGATGAGAATCCACAGTGTGTGCACTTCATAGTGGATTTTAATTGACCAACAAAATTGTCTACAATCTCAGAGTTGTTCATGTTCAAGTATCTCAGCTATGACTCTTGCGCTTTTCCACTGTCGCTCAATTATTCGTCAATCTCCGTTAAGATCGGTTTGGGTTCCTCAGTAATTCCATCGAGGTCCTCATGTAATCCTTTTTGAAGATATTGAGGGAATTCCTGGGCGTCTTGATGGGAAGAATCTGACTTTCAAAGCAGGCAGTGTTTATTACTTTGTCAGATGAAACTACTGACCACGATTCCTTGGTGACTTCTGCAGTCACTTTGAATAAAGCACCTTTCAAACGAGAATACCAGTATTGATATCTTCCATGTATGTATCCATTTTTAAATATTTCAGCAACCATCTCTCCATTCAGTCGAGGAATGAGAGAGTTTTCCAAAAAACGGAAACTCATGAAAACCCGTTAGTTAGGGAAGCCACAGATTATGCTGTAGACGACCCCTCCCGATATAGAAGGCCCCGACACTCTGTCGAATGAGGCCCTCATGTCCCCCGTTAAAGGATGAATAACTTTTTCATCCATCCCACCCCAGCCAGGTAAGGGTATCCCGTGAAGGGCGGAACTGATGTCTAAGGACTTCATGCCATCACCAATTCAGTCATGAACCCATTGGTCCCTCTCAAGACCAACAATCAGCCAAAAGGGTAGGGGAGATGGTCTCCAAACCTGGATGAAATCACGATGACATTCTTGACAGAAACCATCTCGTGTTTGATAAACATTGGATTATACTGTTTTATGAAACAGGTGAACACAAGAGTTTAGACTGAAGGAAGAATCTTTGATCTGATGTTGCAACTGTTGATACTACATTCGCCACTGCTGTCTTTTCGTGAGTGATCACGGAATCGATAAAGCCGATGAATTTAATCAACTTTCATTCTAGTCAAAAATTATCCAAAAACTTTTCTGTAAGTATATTTGTATTGCATCGATTGAAACCTTTGGTGTGATAATGAATATTTCTGGAGTTTTTCCCTAGACCAAACTGGTATTCCAACACCTCGACACGAATTTTGATCACCAAGTGATCTTTAAGGAGAAGATCAAACCACTTAATTTTCCTCTTGGTGACCGAAACACGTGTTGGGGTGTTGAAATAACAGTTTTGTGTTGGGAAAAAAATCCAGTGATATTCACTGTGAGTATAGTTCATTTCCTGATGAATTTGCTGGTGAA